TTGCAGAGAGGTTTTCCTTCTATACAATACATATTTTTGATTCTAACCTTCATGGTACTGTATACTAGGATTAAACCCATTTTGTTTTATACGAGAACAGGTACTTTCTTTAGTTCATGCACTGTACATGCGATTCTCGAGGTTACTGGAAACCAAAAGTTGTGGGAAACTTGCTTTGCCTTTCTAAGAAGGCAATCAAATTGGAGCTGCGAAAATTGGCTCTATGTCAGCTGCCCGAATGACACTCATGTGATACACAATTCGCCAAAAAAGTGATCTCTTCCGACGTCGGTGCAAAACTCGCCTTTTTTGGCAGGATCGTTGTATGAAATTCCCTGGCTTTTCCAGATTTTGACAGAAACACTTAAATTCCCTGACTTTCATGGCAACCCTGAAATGATCACATTTATGTAGATGACATCATTGGAGGACACCAAAACGTTGAACTTGCTTTCAATGCCAGTTTAGAATGCATCAGCATTTTTAGAGATGCTAGTATGATTCTACATAAATGGCACACCAATTCTCAAGAACTGCGCGAATTATGGATTAAAGAAGGCACTGAATCCGAGGAATCTCCTCATGTTTCGGAAGCTAGAAATCCTCCATTGAAAGTGTTAGAGTCGCTTGGGACAACCAAAGTGACATAAATTACTTTGATGTAAAAAATTTGATAACATTTCTATCAAAACAAGTTAATACTAATCGTTTTCTCCTACAAGCAATAGGACGAATTTTTGATCCTATAGGTCTATCATCACCGTTTGTACTTAGAGTGAAAATCTTATTGCAGCAAATTTGGACACTTGCTTTAGATTGGGATGATGAACTACCAGAAAATTTATGTTCTGTTTGGAAAACATGGTGCAAAGAAGTTTCCAATTTAGACGAAATCGGTATTCCACTATATTATTTTTTTGCAATCAGTAATAGTGATGTGGAAAGGATTGAACTGCACTCAGATACTTTTCTGATGCTAGCAAAAGGGCGTATGGTACAGTAGCGTATCTGCATATAATTTCTAGGAATGAACAAATATCTACGGTTTCTGTCGCTTCAAAGACTAGAGTAGCGCCTTTAAAACTGCTCACCTTACCTAGGTTGGAACTAATGGGAGCTCTTTTATCTGCTAAACTGGGCACTAGCATCACTAAAGTTTTGAAGTTACAACTTTCTTGCTTTTTCTGGACTGATTCGAAAATCACACTTTTCTGGATAAAAGACTGCACAAAGAAATTTAAGCTTTTCGTTAAAAATCGTATTCAGGAAATACAAAATTTGACATACCCAGAAAATTGGCATTATTGCCCCGGTAAATGTAATCCTGCTGATTTGGCTTCGAGAAGAGCTAAACTTCCAGAGCTGAAAAAAAATCCTATCTGGTTTTAAGGACCAGAATGGCTTAGAATGTCGTCTGAATTGTGGCCTCGACAGAATGAAGAAGAGAAACCTGTCACATGAAGAAGAATTAGAATACCGTAAGAACATTAATGATATTTATGAATTTGTGTGCACAGCAGTTGAAGAAAGGCTTATAGACATCTCAAAACGTATAGTATAATTTAAGAAAATTGTTGAGAATAACTGGTTGGATGAAGTGATTCATTGGTAAAATTAGGAAAAGGAAAACAAACCATGTGACAGGTCCATTAACGACTGAAGAAATAGTAGATGCCGAAAAGTATAGGATTCGATCTGAACAAGAACGTTTTTATCCCAAAGAAAAAGTCTCTGAAGAGAGCAAATAAAGTAAAAAAGACACCCTCTTTATATCTTTTTAACCCATTTTTAGACCAGAACAGGATACTGAGAGCAGGTGGAAGATTAGAACATTCTAGTTTGTCACATGATGAAAAACATCCGGCAATTCTTTCAAGAGAATCCTGGCTAACGAATTAGATTGTAGAAAGTACACATGTTAAAATTATGCACGGAGGAGTAGCAACGACCTTAGCTGAAATTCGAAGTCGCTTTTGGATCCCAAAAGGACGTCAGTTTCTCAAGAAAATAATAAACAAGTTTGTGAAAGATATTCATTGAAGTCTGCTGAGCAGACCACTTCCAGAAGACAGAATCAATGAGACACCACCATTCTATGTGTCTGGCATCGATTTTGCTGGGCTGATTTACGTAAAAAACATCGAAGGAAGTCAAAAAGCCTATATAACATTATTTACTTGCGCTATCACTAGAGCCATACATCTGGAACTTGTACCGAATCTCTTTACAGATTCTTTCTTGATGGCATTCAAAAGATTCACATTCTAGGAGAGGCAATTGTCGAGTAATTTATTTGGACAACGCGAAAAACTTTTAAAAAGGGAAAAAAGGAAACTCTTTTTTTTTTTCTCCTAAACATTTTCTCTTAAACTATTGTGAATGAGAAATTCCAAGATTTTCTGTCGAATGAAAGAATTAGTTGGAAGTTTATAATAGAACGAGGGGCTTGGGGAGGCTTCTGCGAGAAATTAGTAAAATCAGTAAAAGAGTGAAACATTCTCGGTAAAGCTTTACTAACGTTTGAAGAATTGTCAACGGTTTTAGCACAAGTGGAAGCTGTTTTGAATTCTCGTCCTTTGACATATGTGTACAATGACCACAAGGAACCGTTGCCACTGAAGCCAGTCAATTTTTTGATTTTTGGAAACAAAGCTTCTACATTACCTATCAACTTTAATTCCATTGTTAAAGATGGCTCTACCAAGTCCTCTCTGACCAAAAGAAAGATTTATCAAGATTTATTGGTTAGGTAATTGTGGACTAAATGAAAAAAAAAAAAAAAATATTTGATGTATCTTTGGACAGCTCATCAATTAAAAAATCCTAACGTTTATGATGATCTTGTATTAATCGAAGGCAACAATAAGTGCAAACTTTTGTGGAATTGTGGCAGAGTGATAAACGTTTTTCATGGTCATGATAACAAAGTTCGTTCTTGCGAACTAAAAACTGCTGATGGAACAATAATAAAACGACCAGTTCAATTATTATATCCTTTAGAACTTTAAAAACATTTTTTTATCGTTTAATAATGTGAATAAGATTGAATAAGCTTTTATGCAATTGTTTATTTTACTAGTTTAATTTCATATGCTTAGATTAAGAATAGTTTAGATTTACTGAAGTAGTATCAAATTGTATTTGATGATATCATACCTTTTTTAGAATTTAGTATAGTGATTATAATTTGAATATATTTTATATTCATTTCATATACTTATCAATTGTTTTATAATTATATGTTAAAATACTTACAGAAAAAAAATTTTGATTGTTGTTAGATTAATGTGAACTCTTAACAGAGTTACAGAGTTCAGGTGGGGAGTGTGTGGAAATTATTTTGATTAATTGATAGATGACGCGCCTTCTGAATTTCCATAGACTCTCCACCTGCAGTTCGATAGATGGATGTCTGATGCTTCGCACACTAATTGATTAGGAACACTTCGGTTCCTATTTAAAAGATTTCAGTTTTCGATTATGAAAGAATATAGATTTGTTTGTCAACTGAACCACCATGTTTGATCAATGATCTGTAAATATTGTACATATTAAAAGTTACATTTTAAAGTGATTGATGTCGAATTATAGATCTTAGAATATTTTGAAACACCACTGTTAACAATTCTCCCCTTTTTCCTGTTTTTACTATGACTGATACATGATGTTCAGAATCAGAACGTAAAGACCGAAATAATGCTATCAAACAAGTCGTTTAATGTAATATATAAATTAAAGAATTCTGTATCCAGAATTATATTAAGAACATAAAATAATGGCAAATGGAGCACACAAAAAATAAAATTAATTAATTAAAGCTTTAAGGTCAAAACACAAAAGCATGAATTGTTAGTCATGAGATAAAAATTATAACAATTGGTAAATGTATTCCTTGTCAAGCAAAATTAAAAAACAATGTACTAAATTTATGCATATTTCTTATTGCATTCTTCTGAGCATTGCCAGTCAAATTACTCATTATTGAAGAAGTTATTTATATTTAACAGTGGAAATAGTAGTTGCATCTTTATTTTAGGCATGCCAGTTATGCAATAATTTACAATCTTTTTTCCCTAACTGTAGAAGCTTTTGTTTCTTCCCCAAAAATATAAGAAATAGGTTCTATTCATCAAGGAATATAGATCAGCATTTCCAGTACGTACATTCATGTGGTTCAAAATTTTTCTTTTTTTACTATTATGCAGCTGTTGAAAATATTTCAATTCCCCTATTTCAGAACTCTTTTCAAGATATAATAAAAATCAACACTGAATTCATCCACACTTATTAGTAATGAAGCTATACTTTTTCCAGCAATGGAAGCTATATTTTTTTTCAGACTAAATTTAAAAAAGTCATCTGTATTTTTTTAAATCATTTGAGTATTTTACTTTAATGCAGTTATAATTAAGATAAAAAATATCAAATCCTTAAACAACTTCAACAAGGATGTGAAACTGACATGCTTAACTATGCCAAAAATGCCAGTCAAATTACTCATTATTGAAGGCAGCACACAATAATGAGTATTATTAAGGCAGCTAGCTCTGATTTTGCTTTATGGTTATGGGTTGAAGTGCACCCAGATGACCTGTTTTTGCACTTGATGCCCATTAAAAAAATGAATCACGTCATTTTCAAACACAAGTCCTGCCACACACAGTTAGTAATAGCAGTTGATGGAATTCTTTACTTTTTAAAAATTAGTTAAGAAAAAAGTAAATGATTCCAGATGCTCAGATTAAAACATACTTAGGTGAAGTGGGGGAAACCTAGTAAAAGTCTCAAGAAATTTTAAGAATTAGAGCAAGTCAGGAGAAATATGTTGTAAATCAGGTTGAAGACAGTATGACTGAAAATTGGGAGAACTGGCAAGTTCGTTATTAGAATAAATAATGGCGATTAACTTAGAATACTTCACTTATTCAAGTCTTATTATAATTAAAAAGTCACTTATTAAAATAAATTTAAAACATTATATAAATTTTAAAATAACTTACAATAGTCATCAACAATGTCGGGTGCATCCAGGATCCTTTCAGGAGCTTGTGGAATGTGTCGAGTTGCTTTTTGAGTAGAGCCAGGATTTTTTGATGAGCAGTAAAGTATTTTTAGGGCATTTGCATGGCCTACAAATAAAGAGTTCAAAGTAATTTTATTTTTAGCTTAAAAATTCATCTAACTTTCATTTCAAACCAAAGAATACACTAGAGACAAATTACATGACAAATAGAATAAAAGAGGAAACTGCATTGGAAAACAAAGAAATATGTTGGTTTCAGATAGAGAAGTAAATTCTCATTTGGCAACTCACAAAATAATTCTTGATCGTATTATAAACAGTTTGTCTAATTCAAAAATATAATTCAACATTTACCGGTTTCACATGCAGCCAAAACAGTAAGGTCAAAATTTTGCCAAATTTAGGTGCCAAACCTCTATCCAAAAGCTCTTTTAAATATTGCCATTTTAAAACAAAGGAAGAGGGAAAAGAACTGGCTTAAATTTATTTTGAAAAATATATCATACATTAAAAAAAAAAGTAACACTTTTAAGGTGGCAGTAAAAATCTAATGAACAGTTAATAAATCTTACGGCTGTCAGCAGGGTAATTGTGACCCTATTTAAAAAAATCTCACACAATTTCAAATAATTAAAAATATTAATGCGACTGCATAACTACCTGCATACACACAAATTTTCAAACAGTTTCATCAGCAAAGAGAAAAGTATAACCTTTTTTAACTTATTAGCTAATTTATGTTTTACTACATCCTTTCACAAAAAATTTTGGTTTCTCAACAGTTTTTAAAAAAGTATATAAGTTTAGCTTGCTTTTCTGAGAGATTTTAATTCTCGGAAGTGCTGTGCGATTTTTTTTTTTTTTTTTTTTTTTTTTTTTTTTTTTTAACAACTGAATGTTCAGTTACAATAAGCAAGCCATTTTGGATGGCACCAGCTAACTTTTCCTTAATCCTTCAAATATATTAAGTTTAGAGCCTGAAGTATGCATATTAACAAGTGTTGAAGAATGCTAGTACAGAATGACACATGGATGCCACAGAATTTTGGCAAGCTTTTCAGCTATTCAATAAATTAGCCCAAAATTTTGACGAACAGAGTCCTTGAGAGGAATATTCTGATCCCAAAGTCACAAGCACTTGTTTAAAGAGAACAGCTAATAATTCAATCTTCATGGTGTCTAGACTGTCAGAGTTCAAATATCACCCATGTAATTCAGGGCTTAACCGCTTGCCTGATTATCCCGAGTTCGTATATATTGCAGTTAATTACTATCCCGAGAAAACTCGGGCGAAGCAGAATTTGTTAGTACGATTTCTTTTATCATGGTTTTACTCGGTCTGGAGGAAATGAAAGGAAATATTTAGCTTTGATTGGGAGTTTGCCAAATTTTGTTGTTGTGCGGTTCTTTTGGAGGGACTGGTCGCGTGTTTTGCTATTGTATAGTATACGATGGCTTGTGGATTAGTAATGTATAAAGAAGGATGTATGCGTTGGAAAAAATAAAATAATGGCGATGATGGAAGATAGCGAAAGCGATGATTTTTCAGATAGTGATTATGAAAAGGTAGTGAAAAAAAATTTAAAAAAAAAAAAATCAAATCCAACCAGACAGTGGTACCAACCAGTAAGAAAAGAGACCAGATACCAGTGTAGAAAGTCAGGTATCACTCTGTGTTGTCCCTTGTTTCAAAAACTATCATACAAAGATTAATATAACTTTTTTTTGTTTGCCCGAGATAACTCGGGATAGTAAACTAATATTAAAAATAAATGCTTTTACACCTTCAAAAAATTAAAATATCAACTTAAAACCTACATATTTTGATTTGTTTCATTTTGTGGTATTTAATAATAAAATAAAAAAACGTGATGATTTTTTGCAATTTTTTTCAGAAAAATTTGTAAGGAAAGCGGTTAATTTCTAAAATTAGAAATGCCAGAGCCCTATGGAAGACTGTCAGGAAAGGGGTACAAGAATAAATAAATAAATAAAATAACTAATCAAATGATTAATAATTAAATAATTAAGTAATCAATTATTAAAGTAATTAAAATAAAACAATTATTAAAATCATTAAATAATCAATGATTAAAGTAATTAAATAATTAAAATTTAACAAAATGTAAAGAAATAAAATTAAAATTTTCGAGATCAAATTTCTACTGAACATTTGTTCCAGTTACATAAAAGAAGTGGCAGAGCCTTCTTATTTAGAGTTCCGGTGCACTCCGGCTAGAATATAAAGATTTATTGCAAAAACTAAGAAGTACCAGAGCTGGGCTCAGCAATTGAAGCTCTAATGTAATTAAATGTGATTTTAATAGAAAGTTCAAGGAAGGAAGCCAAAACATATTTAATTTCTTTAATATTGGGTATTTCTATTATCCATCTTCTTTTAGCCTGGATATTTCAGCTTAAACATTTACAATATTAATTTATTTGTTTCTGCATAAGACAAAAGAATATCTATTTGATAGTTTCTGATTTCCTAGTGCAATAGATGAGTTTTCATGTTCTTAAATAAGATTTGGTAAATTCCTTGCTAGCTTTATCAAAACAATGAAAGTATTTGTTTAACAATGCAGAACAGCAATTTTTGCAGACAAATCAGCACATTTTATAGGTCTTTTTCAAAATACATTTAAAATTCCCCCCCCTTTTAAAAATAAATTACTATTTCCAGAGTTCCTAACAATTTTTGCAACATCTGCACTAATAAAAATCAATCATTGATTAAATCTTCAAGATTACTGTCTGTGAAGATTATCTATAATATGAAGACATGATACATAATAATAATTACATGTGCACAGAGTCAAAAAAAATCAAGCCTTTTCTGGAATGTTATGCCGAATCTTTTCCGTATTTTAGTTCCACAATTAAAATTATGAACAAATACCAAATTTTTGCAAGAAATTTAAGAATTCAAAAATTTATTTAAGCGGGGCCCACCACTAGTCAACTGGATACTGATAGTGTAACCAGGCTACATTTTACTAGCTTCCACATGTGTAATGTGTACATGGTCCTCCATGAAAACATTCCTCCTTTTAGGCAGACAGCTTTTGCATGCTTGGACATATTCAAATAACTTTAAATTATGCAGCAAGATTTTGAAAAAGAAGACAGAAATATTAAAGTTTTGGGAAAAATTTCAAATTTTTTAATAAAGAATAAAGCTTGATTTCTAAATATTGTACAGGGTTCGTAGCCACATTTTAGTTAAAAAAATAAGCACCTATAAGCACTTTTCAAGCACATTTTAAGGAAAAAATAAGCACCTGTCTAATTACATTATACACAACTGCATAACCTTAAAAGAAAAATTAGACTTGTAATTTAAAATATGAGCAATATTTATTAAGAGAATGAGCATTACCTCAACCATGGAAAACAATTAACTCTTTTTTTTAATTTTAAATGGCAGTTCAATTTATAGAATTAGTTTACAATGAGAGAAAAAAAAACTATGCAGAACTAAACTATATTACAAGATTTAATGATGAAATTTCACTTCAAAATATAGAAAATAAATAATAATAAGCCATATTAATTGCATTCATTTGGCACCTAATAATAAATACAATTTATTTTTCCACTCATATTAATAAAATAATTTAACTTAAATCAAAATTCTGAACATTTTCTAAATTTTCATTGCATAACAGTTTTCCCTCAAGATATATTCCAAGCAAAGTAATTTAAGTAAAAAAGAGGCACATTTCTGAAATCAGAAGACGGGAAATTGCTTCATGCAGTCATCCTTTAACATTAAAAGCTTAACTAACCCGCATACTCGGAAATTGCCGAATATTCTGGATAGTGAAAAAGAGGAGTGGGGGAGATTGTAACCGTTCTTTAGATTTCTTGGCTAAATAAATGATTTTGACATTTTGATATGTGAATCATATAAAAATAGACCAACGGAACTGAGATTCTGCTTAGAAATTTCTACTGAACATTTGAACAACACACAGTTACTACTGAACAACGCACAATAAAACTCTTTTAAGTGTTCATAAACAAATCTCAGACTGAACATCAAAATTAGTTATCTCTGCAAAATACCGCTAACGCTATTGTGCAATACATGCAGCGTAATTCTTCCACATGTGATATTACACAATCGGAATCAACAGCTGCCGGTATTCGGAGAATAAAGAACTAAATAAATGAAAAGAAAGAGACTTACTAATCTGGGGTGTTTCTGATTCTAATTTTCAATAGACAGCATTAAATTTCCGAAACAGAATCAATTTTCCCTTGGGTTGGGTAGACCGCAAAAATGTTTTAGTCCTATTCAATCCAAATTGGACAGTGACAAAAAAAAAAAAAAAAAAAAAAAAAAAAAAAAAAGAGTCCACTGCTTCAATATTAGAGATTTTGCGGAGAAAGGGGAGAACCTCCCAACCTTCTTAGTATATAATGTATTGGAAAAAATTTTTTAAAAATTGACTATTCGATTTCTTTTCTTTTACTTAAGCCATTCTAAATATTATTCCTTAGAAAGCTAATCTGTGCAAAAACACACCCATTTTTGGAAGTTTATCTATACTTTGGCAGTTACTGCAACTATATTATTATAAATATTCATGCATATGCTTATAATATAAGCATGAATATTTCATAATAAACAAGAATACGAACTCACCATGCGGAACGAGAATGCATATTATTAAAATCTTGATAGAAATTCAAACGTGTGTAGTATTTGAAGTGGGAGGGGAAAAGAATACCAAATGTACCGGAATTTCTACTGTTTTCGCAATTCTTTGACCAATAGAACGACGTGCACCTGTCTACTCTCACGCGCACCATAGGTTACATTAATGCAGAGAAAGGGAGAAAAGCAATTTCCGGGAGTATGATTCACCATCTGACGTTGCATATATAAGGAAGAAAAGTTATTTATTTAGTTTTGGATTTGAAAAAATGCACGTTTATTAAAAAAAAGAAGAGAGAGAGAAAAAAAAAGAGAGAAAAAAAGCACTAAAAACAAAAAAACAAAGGCTTTAAAGAAAAAGTAAGCACCTATAAAGGGCCTTTATATTTTATTTTTCAAATATAAGGACTTATAAGCACTTGTAAGGACCGCTAAGAACC